TAAGGAGATCCATTCTCCTTGTAAAAAGTCAGCCACCAAAACAAAACCAAAAATCATATATTCTACGTAGGGGGTTGTGGCAAGGAAGGCCAGGAGGAAGAGCTACATTGAAGTTTTTCTTTGCTAGGGCTACGATGTAGCCTAATCATGAATATTTAATTGCCTTGTGTCATTATTATTATCATGTTTTTCTTCTTCATTGAGTATCTTTTGCTATTTGTATAATGCACTTAAGTTTTATTTAAATGCTTGATCACCATCTAGGTTTAAATTAGGTTGATTTGATGCAAGTTAAAGTAGATGCCATACTTAACTTGGGTTTAGCTTCTTGCAATTGATACCAAAACCACCTATTTGTAGATGCCATACAATTAGGGTTTGTGTGATTTTCCAACGATTTCCATAGAGTTTAATGGGTTCTTACTTGTTTAAATTCATCTAGATGCCATAGAGGGTTAACATGTAAGGATACTTTTGATGTAACCAGATGCCATGACCCTCCAATAATAGGGAAAATTGATTCCCAATATTGGGGAACTACTTGAGCATAACATATTAAGGGAATTAAGTAGAATTGGTTACGGTGAATTCGGATGCCCTAGGTTTTATTTTCTTATATTTATAATTTTATTATTTCATGTATTTTTATTTTAAAGTCATATTTCATTTTTAGTTTAATTCAAATCTTCTATCTTTTCCATTAAAGCTTCCCAATTATAATTTGTTCCAATTTAGTTAGTAAGATTTTTAGAATCAATTCGATCTCTGTGGGACGAGATCCGTGCTTATATGTTATACTGTCATTTGATTCGTATACTTGCAAGCACTAAAATTCGAGACTTAATGAGGTTAATTTTTGTTATCTAATTTACGCAACAAGTTTTTGGCGCCATTGCCGGGGAAAGAATTTGATTCTATTACCTACTTAATTGGATTGTTACATATTTTAGTTGATTTAGCTTTAATGTTAATTGTTAGTTTTTTCTTTTCTTTCAATAATAAATTATTCCCTAAGTCTCTTGTTAGCTTACCTATTGTTTTCTATTTTTGCAGAAAAACGGAGCCACTTTACCTTGATGCCAAAACAAAATTCAAGTTGGGGGTGGATTGCCATCTACATCTTTGTTTGCCTGTCTCCTTTAAACCCGGGAAGTTTCTTCGTCCAAGAGCTTTATTGATTAATTTTTCTTTATGTACCTTTGTTGTCTATTTTTCTTTACTCTTCTCTTCATTTTTTTAAGTCTTATTCGTTTTGGTTCTAGAAAAATAAAATAAATAAATACATAAAAAATATAAACTTCTGAAAAATCCAAAAACATTTTAATTTTCTTTGAGTCTTGTTCTTGTTGGCTGCTTCCCAATTCATACAGTGATGATATTTGGTTTTTATTTTCTTATAACTTTTAAGAAATTTAAGCTTGGCAATTATCATACAATAAATGAGACCGAAAACACAAATAAATACAGTTTCAATATCTTGGGGTGCAATATGAGAAAACTAAAACTTAAGATCACTCAAAAACTGAAGAATGTAAAATGTAGTCGCCCAAATTTTATTTTATTTTTTGTAAGAAAGGAACAATTACAAACAAGTGCCCCTGGGCAAGCAAAGCTAGAAAAAGTCCCAATGCCACGCAGAATGTGCCTCAACGGGAAGAGTCTGCCGCCAAGACCTATTGTCATAAGAAAATTGACCAACACTAGTAAGAACATCAACCACAAAATTGGCTTTATGATAAAGATGGTGTAAGTAGATCTTTTGAAACTTGAAAGCCAACTTTTGGATGCTAAACACCAGCTTGGAAAGATGCCTAGGGGTGGAGATTGTCTCACGAATAGCATAAATAAGGACCTTAGAATCACCCTCGACCTCTCGGCAATGGAAATCCCTAGCTAGCACGGCTTGAACACCATCTAAAAGAGCTTGGCCTTCAGCAAATAAAATATAAGCATCACCAATCTTTCTAGCACCCACAAAACCTCAAGCCGTTAGATGATGGGCTAGATAAGATTTGACGTTAGGGATAAGATTAGATTGGTTTGGACATTTTAGACAAGATTTGTAACTCATGTACAAGGATAGTAAGATAACCTACTGTCTTGTGGATTCATAACAATCATGTCCAATCTTGTCCATCTCATATTTTGACACAATAAACAAATGACTGGACTCAAGTTCATTTTAATTGATCACAACCTATCATATCCAGCTGATCAAATGAGCCCAATTGTCTCACAACACAAAGGCATAAGCAGTTTGGGAGGAGGAAACAACCGAGCTATCAAATTTAATTTCAAATTAGCCCCAATTATATGAGTCCATTGGATAAAGGAAGGTCTTGAGCGAATAATCTTCATGGAAGAATTTGCTGAAACATAAATATTTCCAATAATAAAAGCTTTGTGGAAAACAATGGTGACAATACCAGTTTTATGAAGAAAACCCATTCATTTCTAGCCATTCAAAAGTACCAACACAGTAAAAGAGCAACACATAAAGGAGCTAAAGAACCATCACAAGGATTTTTATAATCCAAAGAGGAAAGCTAATGGAACAAATCCACATATGTCAAAGCCTCCAATGTGACTCCAAACAACTTTACTAAAATGACAACAACTGCAAAGATGATTCATCATAAAATTTCAAAAGGTACAAACATGTCTCTCCCAAGGAAAGGCATAAATCTATGTTTAGGTCATTTCTAATCCTTGGGTTAAAACTTAAATTTTTTAACCTAGAAAATATGTGTTAATCCAGAAATAGTTTTTCTTCTACAACCCTTATGGTTAAATTTTTAGCTTGAGATTATTAAAGAATGAACTTAAGATAATTTTTTTCTTAAGGTAACCTTTTTTTTTAAAGAAAGAATTATGTAAATTATTCTAATTTAATTTTATGAATATTTTAACCTAAAATATTTAGATTCCGATAAATATTGAAAAATTACTAAACCAACACCATAAAACTCGTGGAACACTATGAAAGAAAACGAAACACATAAAAGAATTTTTTTTAATTACTTTAGCTGTTGAATTTAAATTTAGACCATTAGATCTTTTTTATTACCGTGGAATTTGATCATATAAGATCTTAGCCATTGGATTCGATGAATTTATAAATATAAAACTTTAAAAAATACACATGGTGGACCACCTCCACTCGTGGCCTAAGTTTGCCCCCGAAATGAGTTTTGGGTTAAAACTCATATTTGCCCAAGGGTTGTAGCAAGTTGGGGTAAATTTATAATCTAAAATTTGAGTTTTACTATAAGGGTTGAAGTAGGTTTTAGGAGACTTTCGAATTAGCCCTAATTTTTATGAAAGCTAATTATTGTTGGATTTTTTATTTTATTTTATGAATAATATTTGGTTACTCAAAGGATGAGTAAGAGTTTCAACTCAAAATTGTTTGTTGTCGGTTTATAGAACTTTGTATTTATAATCAGGACCGTTCACTCTATAAAGATCGCCTTTGCAAAAACTAAGGTCATTTAATTATCTAAATGTATTGTTGATGCACAAAATTTGTGAAGACTTTGAAACAATGTAAAGTGTCAAGTTTGTAACCTTCGCTTGGTTGCTTCGGTCACCTAGTGATGATGATGTGTAAAGAGATAGAGATTTTTTTTTTGGAAATCAGTAAAGAGATAGAGATAGGGAAGCAAACACAAGATGTACGTGGTTCACCCTAAGTTTGGCTACGTCCACGGAGTAGAGGAGTTCTCATTAATAGTGAAGGGTTTACACAAATACATAGGTTCAAACATAATCATTATTAGTGAGTTCAAATGACTAGTTTAAGTACAACAATGACATTAGGGATTAATTGTAGGAGAATGACCTACTTTTATAGTTGAGGAGAGTCTTTAGCTTTTGTCCGCGGTCGATATGGGACTCGATGAGCTTCATTCTAACGTTGACATATGTTGCGCTGTAATTGGCCTTCTAGTTGGATGGAAACTCTTGTGCTTCGGTAGGAGTGCCTCAGCATGAACCCCACAGTAGGTCCTTGAAGATATGACGTTGATTGGTACTCGGTAGTTTCGGAATTGGTCAAGTATGGTACAAACGTGTATAAAAATATACGAATGAAATTGGTAAAACATTACGAATCGTTTGTGTATTTGCTACAATAGTTTGACTAAACGACCTTAGTTATTTATTTTTTATTTTGGCCTAATTGAACTATTAGTTCCTGTGGTGATAGGATTGTTGGAATATAGCCTATATGGTAAAAAAAAAAAAAAAAAAAAAAAAAACTAGGATTTAAGACCATGTGGTGAAGTCGGTTAGGATTTTTGCCAAAAATTGAAAATTTCATCAACTTTCTATTAATTATTAGCATTGAGCCACACATATTAGGATAAAATAAAACTCTCATTTTATTGTTAGCATGTGGGGCTTACATGTGAGACTAACTTTATATTTTTAGTCTCACATGTGAGACTCATGTGTTAACAATTAACGGAGAGTTGAAGAAATTTCCAACTTTGGCCTAAAATCCTAACAGACTTTACTGCAGGGACTTAAATCCTAATTTTTTTACCACATGAACTATCTTCCAACTATCACCACGGGGCTATTAACACAATTAAGCCTTATTTTTTTTGCAACCATGATATTTACAAAATGATTTGTAACATGAAACATAAGCATAAAACTTTATGATTTGAAGACGAAGAGCATGTTTAGATGTGTTTTTAAAATGACTAAAAAAATTTTGGGTGAAAATGTTGTTAGAACAAATCCTTAATAAAAATGCAAGTAAATCCTGGAAATACACTTAAAGTGCTTTTGGAACCCAAATTTTTTTTCTTTAAAAGCGTTTTCAGTCATTTTAAAAGCACAACCAAACTAATCCTAAAAAATTTAAATAAAAAGTTCCTAGCGTTTTAGGATACAAAAAGGGGCGGACAACAATGTAACGACGTCGTTTCCATCGTCTAGTCCGCTGAATTCTCTAAAACCCTAGCACAATAACAAAAACAAAAACACGAATACATAACCCCCCCTCCACTCTTCTCTCTCTCTCTCTCTCTGACTCTGAAGCTCTCCAATGGAGCATAGATTAGCGAACACATCGCATCTCACGCTGAACCAGAAGAAGTTCATCGAGACCGCTCTACTCGCCGACCTCCGAGCCGACGGCCGCCGGCCCTTCGACTACCGTAACCTCACCATCAAGTTCGGCAAAGAAGAGGGCTCGGCGGAGGTCCAGCTGGGCCAAACTCACGTAATGGCCATCATCACTGCCCAGCTTGTCCAGCCCTACCGCGACAGGCCCAATGACGGCACTCTCTCCATCTTCACTGAGTTCTCCCCAATGGCCGACCCTTCCTTTGAGCCAGGCCGCCCCGGCGAGTCTGCCGTCGAGCTCGGCCGCGTAATCGACCGCGGTCTTAGGTTGATTCCTTCCCCTCCTTTGATTATCGAATTGGGTTTGCTTTTAATTTGAGCTATACCTTGTGTGTTTCTAAAGTTTGGATTTTTTTTGTTCTTTGTAATATATGGGTGATTGTTTTACAGAAAAAAAAAGTTAAGCATACATTTTAGAATGGGGCCGAATGCGTTTTAGAATGAGCTTGGCCACGTAATAGCCCTACCGGGATAGCATCACAATTTAGAGAAAACACTTCAAACTCAGTACTTTAGAGAAATGCTACTTTGGAACATTAAAAGGTATTTCACAACTAAAAACAATTAGAGCATGAAAAATGGATAATGCGGGGTTTTTTCTCGCCAATTGAGCTCTTGAGGTGTTTTTATTTTATTTTAAATAGAACTTATAGTTGTCAGGGTGTTTCTTCTAATGAACTATTTTAGAATCCATCTATAATGGCTTTTAGTTTTTCTTTATTACATTTAGTCATGCTTATTATAGTTAGCAAAGTTAAGCTTAAGAATTCTGTCATTTGAGTAATGGAAAACAAGAAATAAGACATCTGTGACTGTGTGGTTGTGCATGAAAATGAATGCATTTTGAAGGTTTAGAAATGAATGAATGTGCAGGGAAAGCCGAGCGGTTGATACAGAATCACTTTTTGTTCTTTCAGGGAAGTTAGTTTGGGCTATTCGTGTTGATCTCCATATTTTAGATAATGGAGGGTAAGCTGTGTATTTGGACACTGCATCAAACTTTTGTTTCATATTCCCATCTATATATTGAAATTTAACTTTTAGAAATAAAATGTGGACAGAAACCTTATTGATGCTGCTAACATTGCAGCATTGGCTGCTTTGTTGACGTTCCGGAGGCCTGAAATCTCCTTGGGGGGAGAGGATAGTCAGGAAGTGACTGTACATCCACCTGAGGTAGCTACTCACTCAAAGAAAATAATTAAGGGTGCCTTTGTTGAGAGATACGAGAATATTTAGTGCTGAACAATTTTAAAGGTCTATTATTAAGGTTTGTAAAAATGGCATGGGGATTTTAGTGATAAATTTGATTTTGAAGCTGGGCTGGTTCCTGGTTCTGTCTAAAAACACTTAAATAAATGGAAAAGAAACAAGTGAAATGACAAAATAAGATAGGAAGATATAAAGCTCCACCAGAACACTTTAAGAGTGTGGTCTCCTCGGCTCTGTTGGAGGTTTACTATACAAAATCTGTACAGGCCTCATTTAATATCATGGGTGGATAATCTCCTAATTTCAAGATACATTGAAGGTGGAAGTGAATGGTTTTTCATTTGGAGGGGATTAGGAGGGATTAGACTTGAAGGAAACTCATCTCAGCCCTTCCAATCCAACCATTTAGGGAGGATTGAAATGGATAAGTTCCCTTCACGAGTAACCCATCTTCTATCCTCTAGTTAGACATGATTTATTTATCCCTCCCTTCAACATACCTTGAAATGAGGGAGTTCTCCATTTCAGTCCAAACCTAGATACCAATTAAGGCAATAAATTCTCACCAGTTAAGCCCTAGTGAATTTCTTTGTAAACGGTTTGCATGTAGAAGTAAAAAGTTTCTTGAAAAGAAGTTCCTAATTGAAAACAAAGGATTTCCATCTATCAACAAACTGAAACTAGACCCAAACAAAATAAGTGGAAAAAGATTCATTACCAAGAAGTACAATAATCTGAATCTATTTACCAGAAGACCTATATCTTGTGGTAATAAACATCAAGTAACACTTTGACACTAGATGATGAACTTTGCGAATCAAGACAAGGGGAAATATACATGTGTGTATTGGCGTAAATGCTGTTCTCACCAACGTTCAACTGTGTACACGATGGATAAACAAAATTTTAGAAGAAGAAAAGTGATGAGATTATTACATGTGTACCGTTTAACTTGAATAAACCTCTTTATTTATTATGTATGGCCTTGTGACAGGAGAGGGAGCCACTTCATCTGATCATACATCATCTCCCAATAGCAGTAACCTTTGCATTCTTCAATTATGAGAGTAGTGTGGTAAGCAAAATTTATCCCTCTGAAAGATCTATATTTGTTCACAACTTGGAAGCAACTTTTGTCTGACTTTATTCAATGCCACATAGGTGATAGATCCAACCCATGAGGAAGAGGCTTTTATGGGGGGGCGAATGACTGCGACAATTAATGCAAATGGAGATGTTTGTGCTATTCAAAAAGCTGGAGGGGAGGGTGTCTTGCAGAGTGTTATAATGCAATGTTTGCGAATTGCTTCTGTTAAGGCTGGTTCTATGACAGAGAAGATCAAGAAGGCGGTGAGGTTTTCTCTTTATGAAACAGTCTTGAATACTTGAGTTGTTTCTCTTTCACTTGAAAGAAATATTAACCCTTTACATAATTCTAGAATTATAAAATGAACTGGTATCTGTGATCTATATGACTGTTGTAGAAGGCAAATAACAGTATCTCATTGTCTCTGAAGAACACATAAGTGACATTTGTCTTTAATATTTCTTGAAAGGTCTCTTGTAAAAGTATTCATGACCAGAAGTGACTAAAGAAGTGTTGACTTGAAATATATATTTGGATATAGCATATTCCATCTGGAAAAGTGGTATCTGATCAAATGTGTGTCAGCATTCTCATGTTTTGGCTCCTTTTTTAGTGTTTACTCCAATTCAAATGCAGGTTGATTCATACAACACAGAAAGAGCATTTCGGAAGATCAAGCGCCATACGTCTTCTGTCCCCATGGATGTTGATAGAGGTGCTTCTAATATAGGTGTGCAGCAAAACTCTTCTTCTGTTAATCATATGGAGAGATTAAAGCGGATGTCTGAGGAAGGAGTTGCAAATCAAAGTGAGGGTGCTGCAGGTGAAACTGAATTATCAGAAAAAAGACAAACTAATAAGGGTAATGAAGATGCGAAGAATTTTACTGGAGGCCCCTCAAGTTGGTATGGTTCCAATCTTATAAAAATTAGGGCCTTATCATTCCTTTATTATCAATCAATGTGTGAAAATGGCTTTAAAAGATTGGATGTTAGTGGACGCTTGCCAATTTGCATTGTGCTTCCTGTCCTCTATTAATAGTACTCCTCTTTTGTACACCCCTTGTAGGGTATTCTTTTCTTAGGATTCTGAATGAACTTCCTTACTTAAAGAAAAATGCCGTAAAAGAACAAATTTAGCAAATGGAGTTGGAGAACCATTTTAATTTTTAATGGACTGTGTGGTAGAAACAGTTGGTGACCCAGCCAAGCAAAAAGAAAATCATTAATAAAAGGAACTGTTATTATTGGCACTCCAGCAGTCCTCTTCTTCTTTTTATTAGGGAGAATTTGCACATGGAAAGGTAATAAATTGAGAAGGTGTTTCTTTTCCTTTTGCAATGTAGAACCTGGGGGTCAATTTCTGGGTTAGAGTTGTTAGTTATCATATGCATTGGGTTGTTTCAGTTTTGATTTTCCCAATAAGAGAGAGATAAAGGCTTCGATATCCCTACTGATTTATCCTATACTAGTTTATTTTTTTCAATATTAATTTGTTTTTCTTTTTCCTCAGGGATCCTTACTCAAATGGTGTTGATTCAAATATTTTAAAAGCTTCCCATGCTACTCTATCGTGTCTTCACCTATAAGAGAAAGAAATTACCATTGTACATATTGCTGCTCTTTGTCACTTTTATAGCTCATCCAAGAGATTTTAAGACTGATTATAATGTTCTGCTCAGCCTTGTGGAATGTGGAATTAATTCATACATATGGGGAAATTAATATTGGTTAGGACTTGCAAATATTTATGTTAGGTCTGGTTTTTTGCCCTTTTTGTCTACCCCAACTGTAGGAAATTGCATCAAACTTCCCTATTAAAGATAAAAAATATCCCAAGACACAAATTAGCATTGTATTACTGTACAAAATTTACTTTTTTGTGAGCTACGCCTTTTTGGGTCTGATGTAATGAGAATGTTTACTAATTGATAAGATGTTTATTTAGGTATTGTCGCTAAGTGCTCCAGTTACGCATACATATACTACATAACACTCTTGTATGGTTGCATACTTAGGGGAGGACTTTTATTTACATGCATTCAGTCACCGTATGCATGCACGTGCACAGATATATAAGAGATGGAGAGAATTCTCATCCATGTTAGGCATGACATGTGCAGGGATGTCGATGCCTAATCAGAAACCAGAGGACTCAAAAGGTGAGGAAACAACCAGTGAAGCCATGCCAGAGGAACCTCCTGAAGATATTAATCCAATGCCTTCATCCATTGAGGGAGCTGAAACCGCAGAGCGAACAAATGGAGAGAAAACCTTGAAGGATGCTGTGAAGCCCAAGAACAAGAGACCTAGGAAAAAGAACGGCTCCTCTACTGGTCCAAGCTAGATGGATTTTTTCTCATCGCATGTATGGTGTTATGTGGACATATTTTCTTGTGCTCTTCTTTATACCTTGAATGTAGATAGCTTAATTCGTTGAAAAGAATCAATATGTTTAAAAGCATGGATACTTCGTTTTTGGTACTCAGCAATGGTAGGAAAAGATTGATTATTTTCAATCAGTATTTTTTCATAATGTATTCGAAATTTGCTTTTTTCGTAATTTAATTATATGTGCTTTCGCCAGTTTCTTGCTAATTCAAAGATATCTGCATTACTTGCCAGATACTTAGGTGTTGCAGTTCTCGTTGGAACTCATGGCAGGGAAAAGGAGTAGGTAAGTCTCTGGTCGACTGCAAAGTGATGCGGGGGTATACATATATGACGAGTAAGTTGAGATGCTGCTCAATTGTTTCTAATGCAGTTGTTCATGTAGCGGATCAGTGTAGTCTTGTTTTGTCTGCTCTTTGTAGATTTGTAGTGCAAATTGTACATGAGCGAGGTTACCGAAATTACTCAAATTTTGTTGTTGCACACTTGAAAATGATAATTCCCTTCATGTTTGAGCGAGGTTTCGACTATTTTGATGTTCAACGTAGTCAATGCCAATGTTTAATGTAAGGTTAGTGTGGATTCGTATGAATTGATAGGTCATAACCAAGGAAGAAAAAATCGATAATATCGGCAAAATATCGCCGATATTATCGCTTTTTTGGAATTCCGAAATTTTTTTAACTATCCAACCTATTTTCGTTAAAATATCACGATATTATCAATAATATCAAAAATATCGCGATATTTTCAAAATTATCGATAATATCGCAATATTTCATTAAAAAAATACTTAAATATGTTAAGTAAACTCAACACATACTTCACTTGGTCATGGCCCAAAGACCAAACAAGCTTTGGATATTTCAACAGGGGAGTGTGGCTTTTATAGGAAAAATGGCTTGCTCACTTCCTTGCATGGGCGATGTGGGACTCGCCCAATGGGAGAAAAAATCAAAATTTCGGCCGAAATTTTACACCCACTTTAAACGATCATAACTTTGTCAAAACTCAACGAAATCAAGCAAGACAAAAACGAAAGTTGTAGCCCTCGAAGAGACGAAGAGAATGGTACCTCACACGACGTCTGAATCGTCGTGGTTTGGCCGGCAAATGCCTCGAAAGTCACTGAGGTCGCCGGAAACTGGGTAAGATTCAAATGAGTATAACTTTTTCAATACTCAACGAAATTGAGTGAAACAAAAAGGAAAGTTGTACTACTCGACGAGACGAAGAGATTGATACCTTGAACACCGGCCAACTCGCAGTGGTTTGGCCGGAAATTGCCTCGAAAACTACTAAGGTCGCCGGAAACTGGGTAAGATTCAAATGAGTATAACTTTTTCAATACGCAACGAAATTGAGTGAAACAAAAAGGAAAGTTGTAGCCCTCGAAGAGACTAAGAGAATGGTACCTCACACGACATCTGACTCATTGTGGTTTGGCCGGAAATTGCCTCGAAAGCTACTGAGGTCGCCGGAAACTGGGTAAGATTCAAATGAGTATAACTTTTTCAATACGCAACGAAATTGAGTGAAACAAAAAGGAAAGTTGTAGCCCTCGAAGAGACGAAGAGATTGATACCTTGCACGCCGCCCAAAATTCAATTGACACACTCCTGGCTTCCAAAATTCAATACTTTTACTTTATATCAACTTGAAAAAACATAATCGGCATCCAAATTAAAGTTTAGTCTTATTCAATGTATTGATTTTCAATTGTTAATTGATATACTATAATTTGGAACTTCAACGCCTAGACGCATGCTTATGTGTAAGAAACTTAAATTGTCAAATTCGGCACATTATTCTTCATCATTTTATTCACTCCCTTTTTTTTTTTTAATATCCTAAATAAAACCTCCAAATATTGTACTAATTAATTATATATAAATGATTATGGTGTGTTTAAACTTCTTTCATTAATTACTACATATTTTCTACACTCACAATGTTTGCCAGCTCGCTATATAATCAACTTAAATCAGTTAAATCCATCATGCAATGCATTTCCTTCCAATTTTTTGTGATAAACTAATAGATAATTGACTAAATAAACATCCTACAAAGTTTCATTAAAAATTTCCAAGTTTTTCTTACAATTTCCGTGGTTTCCATGTAATTTTTATCGATATCGATATTATCCCGATATTTCCATCGATATTTCCGTGTTTTCGGACTACCGATATTTCCGATATTACCGATATTTTCTTCCTTGGTCATAACCAGTTCGATATCGATGTCGATGTCGTTGATGGAACTAGTTGCATCCCAATTGTACTTGCAAACGTTTGGACCACTGATTTCAGGCTTTTAACTTCTGATTAAGTCAAAATTGATATTGGTATTGGCATGGGTAATTTAGGTCACATTTCTAACTGTTTCATTTTTTTTGGAAGTTGTTATTAACATTTCAAAATTTTCGTTTTGCACTCCAAACTTTCTATAAATAGAAAGAAAAATACCCTTGTGAGGAGTGTAGAATGAGATTTTTGAAGCACTAATAACAATACTTTGTTTTTGTAGTTATGTTGGAAGATTTCGAAATCTAGACATAGCATACTCCTACCCATCCTATCCACCCTCATGACTAGGTTGACTGTTTAATATTTTGTCTTTAGTTTTTGTTTGTATCATACTTGACCAATCCCGAAACTACCAAGCAATGGTCAACTTCATACTTTCAAAGGCCCACTGAGGGGTTCATGCTAATGCACCCTTGTTGAAGCCCTAGAGTTTTCCTCAAACTTCAGGCCATGTCACTCAAGAATAGAGCTCATAGTTCACGTCGAGACCTTCAGAAAGGCTTCCTTACTATAAAAGAAGAGTCTCTCCTCAATTAAAACCATCATGAAAACTAGCACTAGAGTTCCTTACTATATCAGAACCAACATGTCAACGTCAGAATAAAGCTTATGTACGTCGACCATAGATACGAACTTAACTTACTATATAAAGAAGATCATTCTCCTACAATTAATCCATAATGTCATTATTGTACTTAAACTAGTCATTAGAACCCACTGATGATGATTATGCTTAAACTTATATATTTGTGTACAACCTTTACCATTAATGAAAACTCCTCTACTTCATGGATGTAACCAGACTTAGGGTGAACCATGTACATCTTGTATTTGCTTCCCTATCTCTATCTCTTTATATATTACCATCACTAGGTGACCGAAGCAACCGAGCAAAGGTCATAAACTTGACACTTTACGTTGTTCCAAAGTCCCACTGATTTTGTCTATCCACATTTGGCGTCATCTGTGGGAATGACACTTATTCCTACTCTCTCTAGCTTTGTCAAGCTAGTTTCCATCGTTTGTACACTCTCTTTTGATTAGGCATCACTTTCCAACATGGGAAACAAAGGAAGCCACAACACGCAGAACAACACCTCTTCGTGCCTAGTGTGGGACAACGAAGGAAGGAAAGAAAGAAGTTTGCTTTTCAAGCTAAGGTCGAAGAGCTTGAGGCTCAGAACAATAAGATAGCAATAAAGAATGAGATCCTTTAAGAACAGTATGAGAAACTCTTTGAGATGCTCCACGAGGGTAGGCAGACTCAATCTCACGAGCCCATCACCCATGTGGATGTTAATCATCACTTGGGTGCCCCTCAACATGAAAGGTCACCGGTTTTTAACATGGATACTCTTAATGAGGAACGAACTACCCATCCATGTGTTGGTCGACGCGAGACTTCTCTCAACCCAACTGCTTTGACCCGAAGCAGGAGAAGTGGAGGGAGGCACCTCTTTGCAAAAGGAGTGGAAGGATCGAAGGTTGTTTATCGTGATTTTCGAGACTTCTTAAGGCAGCTGATAGGAGCATATTTATGCGACTTAATTAGCTTGTTCTTATGCGACTTAATTTAGCTTTATTCTTGTGCATTTACGTTGTATTTCCTTAGTTATTTTAGTGTTTAAAGTTATTTTTGTGTGTTTTCAGATTCTAAGTACAAAGTATGCAAGAAGATGCATTTTGGAGGCCTTTGGAGCATGTTTCGGGCTTGGAATGGATAGCAAATGCATGGGCCAAGTGGATGGACGAATTTGAGAACTAAAGAGGCCAAGAATATGAAGAATTATGGTCCAAAAGATGAAGAAAACAGCCCAAAAATCTGTCACCCCCCAACTTGCATTCCTTGCCATGCAAACCACATAGAATTCCCTTTGGATTCCATGCCATGCTTGATCACTCTTGTCCCCTACATAATTTCTAATTTCATGCTTCAATTCATTTAATTATTACACTCAATTGCTTGATACCTCTTGTTCCCTTCACTCATTAGATTTTAGACAACATTTACATCCATTACATGCACCAATTGATGCTCCATCATTCACATTTGGAATCCAATGCCATGTGCAACACATGTTGTTGCACCTTTGACCCATTTGTTGACACATTTCACCTCCTTTTCCATCTCTATGCAATGTACACAATCATTCATGCTCCCTAGCTACAACACCACTCCATTTTACCCTTCACACTTTGCATCATTACTTCATTTTCACCCTTGGACCATTGCACACCACACACACAACTTGCCATGCATTTCATCCTTAACCTAACCTGATTTTCTAAGGTTTTTGGGGCCTATAAATACATGTTTACACCCCTTGGCCAAAGGACAATCCCCCATATTCATCATTTTATCACAAAAATTCGTCCATACACACCCTAGGAAGCAAAACACCCCAAAAACACCATTCTAGTGCCTAGAAAACATAACAGCCACTCCACCTTCTTCCACCCTCTTTGCCTAGTTCTCCACCACCCTCCAACCATCAAACACTCCTCCACACTCACCCTAAACCCTTCCATACCATTCCCCATCCATTCTACATCATAAAACTACCCAAAATCTGTCCATAACCCAATCTGCCGCAAGCAAGGGAAATGAGGAATCTTGGATGCACTTGCTACCAAGTTGGAGCATTTTAGGTGTTTTCTTTCCTTTGATTTTAATGTCTAATTTTATGTATCTTTGCTTTGTGAGTATGAGGAACTAAACCCCTCTTAGTTAGGGGGTGATTCGAAACTATGTTCATACTTGCAATATGATTTGATTACATCCAGTTGTGATTTATAAGTTGTGAATTCAATTTACTTATCCGTTCATATAAAAACTAATTTGTGTATGTTGGTTAAGAGTGCACGCTTAATTTTCATGCATGAATTTGACGCTAGAATATAAAGAAGTTTTACCTAATCGTTATAAACTTATATTCACAAGTAGTGAAGGTTGCTAGTCACAATCACGTTAAGTAAACTCTTGGCATAAGTTTCATGCAAATCATAGTAACGAGTGCCTCGTCAATGCTTATGTTTTTCATAGAACTTAATGATTCTTGCTTGTATCTCTATTATGCAATTCATGTAGGGAACTTGTAGGGAATGTTTTGGGTTGTCGTATGCAATCATCCAACCTAATAACTTGTGGAAAAAACTGAGGGTTAATTAGTGCAATTCACGGTTAATTTGGGGCGTTGAGTATTCATAGCTTATCGAAAAGCAAC